CCTAGCCTGAGCGTGCCGGCTGCTAGCGAGCTCTGTGCGCTAACCTAGCCTGAGAGTGCCTGATGCTAGCGAGCTCTGTGCGCTAACCTAGCCTGAGAGTGCCGGCTGCTAGCGAGCTCTGTGCGCTAACCTAGCCTGAGCGTGCCGGCTGCTAGCGAGCTCTCTAGCCTGAACGTGCCGGCTGCTAGTGAGCTCTGTGCGCTAACCTAGCCTGAGAATGCCTGATGCTAGCGAGCTCTGTGCGCTATCCTAGCCTGAGCGTGCCGGCTGCTAGCGAGCTCTGTGCGCTAACCTCCTGAGCGTGTGGCTGCTAGCGAGCTCTGTGCGCTAACTTAGCCTGAGCTTGCTGGCTGCTAGCGAGCTCTGTGCACTAACCTAGCCTGAGCTTGCTGGCTGCTAGCGAGCTCTGTGTACTAACACCTAGTTTGTCAATTGGCCTGGAGTCTCCTAGCACCGGCATGACTTTGCCAGTGGCTATCGAAAGCCCCCCTGCGACTGTAATCAGACAATTTAAGAAAGTGACATGGTATCATGTTGTGGGGAAAAAAATCTCTGGACTAGCTTCAATCCAAGCTGGGGACCCTAACAAGCGCACCAGAGCGGGATGGGTTACCCAATTTACACGTACCAGTTGAAACCAAGTCAAACCGAGAAAGGGCAAACAGCATTTTTATGCTGTTGCCACAAAGGTCAAAATGGTTCAATGTGACTTTTTCTTGTTGAAAAATGTTGCAATTGACGCTGATCCTGGCTTGCACGTTGGTTTGGGCAAAACGGTATTTTCCAATGGAAAACTGTTGTGTCGAAAATTTTCCCACCAGCTCCGCTTGTATCTAACGGAGCCATTTAACCCTTTGCGCTGCTTTCTCCAACCTTATTCGCGCCACACAGCTGCCAGCCCTGGGCATCCACGCGTCTTTGGTTCCCAGCCCGCCCCCAGGGAACGGATTAGGGAGTAATAGATGGAAATCGCTGGTGCGGTGTCTTCAGAGCAGAGCCTGTCACTGGAACCCCGGGGCTGCTGATTGCTCCTGATTTGTGCTGTATCTCTGGTGCCAGCGCCTGACAGCAGTTAAGAGCTGTGCGTTTGTTGCCTGGAGGTTGCCTCTCTCTGGGGTTTCTTGCTACAGGCTTCTGGCTGGCAGAGAAGGACTCTGTAGCCTCCACGGGGAGCCTGGCAGTGCAACAGTGCTTATGGCAGAGAAGAGAGTCCAGAAAAGAGACAGCCGTTCTCACTACACCCCTCCTTCCTGCCCTCCCACAGAGCCCCAGGGCTTAGCTGCCCACCGGTGCAAATCAGAGCAGCAGGATCGACTTCACCCCGGCTGTGCCCAGTTGCATCAGTGGAGCCCAGCCCCTGAGGCGCATCTCCAGCTGTGAATGGCAAACAAGCTGCATTTAACGTGCACAAAGGGGTTGGCTTCGGTCCAGAGCAAGACCGGAAGAGCCGTCCTCAGATTGCCATCTCGGTCGCTGGCCCAGATCCGTCTCGCTCCGCTCTCAGGGAGGGCAGATCCCAGCAGCTGGTGGGCTGGGTGAAAGCGCGTTGGCTGGGCCTCAGTCCAGTTCCCAAGCTGGTGTTTACACTGCCAAGTGAAGGGGTGATGGTCGCAGGAGAGCAGAGGTGGTGGGGTGGGCATGGCCCACAGGCTGGCTACCAGAGTGCGGACCCCAAACCCGTTCTCTGGTGGCGAGCCCACGCCAACATGTCGACTCCGCTATTGCTACCTGTGCCGGCTAAGCCAAGGTAACACGGGTGCCAACCGGATGGACAATCACCCCCCATTGCAGCGTAGACGTACCCTCTGGCGCTAGCCTGCCTGGCACAACAGGCCTTCTTGCTGGCAATCTCGGCACAGAAAATAAGGACTGTGTGGGCTTTGGGGTTGGTGCTGTCAGCTGGCCATTGTGCTAGGGTTTGTGAGGGACGCTGGCCCTGCTGTTGCCCCTGGCGTACGTGCCCCACGGAGGAGTCTGCCCCCTCCAGGCCTGTTCACCTGCGGTCTATCCCCAGTGCCAAATTCATACCATGTACAGGGCCAGCTGGTGCAAATTGCTGCAGCCCCACTGAAGTCAGAAGGGACCCCCGAGCAAGGATTGGGCCCCGCTCTGTTCTCTCCTGGGTGTGGGGCAGGGTTGGCGCCAGGCCAGTGTTTTCTCCCAGAGCACCTGGGGCAGTTCCTGCTTTGCACCCCACATGGACCATTCTCGTTCTACGCTGACACTTGCCTGCCACCGGACCCAGCCCTCAGCCAGACCCCTGGGGCAGCTTGGGGCAGCGGTACAGGAGCTGGGGGCAGGCAGGTGGCTGTTGGCTGCAATTTGGAGCACCCTTCCGCTGGCGTCAAGAGACCCCAGAGCGACACGGTCCCATGCAGGCAGTGGAGCTGCTCTGGCTGCCGGGGCCTGGGCTGTTGTTTTGGGAAGGTCTGGGGAACAGGCCAGCAAGCCACGTGGCTGTTTGAGTGCCACGGCCACCCCGCGGGGCGGTTCCTGCCCTGAGGATGGCATGCCGACTTGTGCCCATATGGGGGGAAGCCGGGCCTGTCACCCCCACGTCCACAGCGGCAGGAACAGAGCAATTTGGATTGGGCTTGCCAGTCTCTCTGGAGAACTGATATTTGTTCCCCTCCCCCGCCGCAAGACTCCAAGCAGAACGGCGACGCCAGCACGGTGCTGTCGGACGAGGAGCAGCCCCTCTCGGCGGTGCATGAGGAGAAGCGGCCCATGAGGCGCTCCAGCACCAGGGACAAAACCAAGAAGGCGGCCACCTGCTTTCTGCTGAACGCCGGCGACTTCTCCTGCGCGGCCGACGGTAGCGTCCGGAAAGGTACAGGCGCGGCGGCCGGAGCGGACGGGGGGGAGAAGGAGGAGAGGGACGAGGAGGGATGTGCAAGGGCTGATGGGGGGGCATTTCCCTGCCATTTCCCCATTCACCCCCTGGCAGCCCCCGTCTCCTGCCCTGTGCTTCCATCGGCCTACATGACCCTCTTCCACCTCCCCTGTCTGTCCCTGGGGTTGCTGCCTTCCCAGCCGCTCCACCTCGTCCTGCCTTGGTGCTTCTGG